AGTCAAGTTGAAATATGTATATGTACCAATTCCCTAAAACAAATGTAATTATATATTGCAAACACATACCAATAAAAATATAAAAAGTTAATACTCAGAACAATATTATAATACAGAAAAAGGAACATATAATATGGGACCAGTCCTAGACCAAAAAACCTAAAGTATTTACTAGTTGGCTCTTTACCCTCAGTCTGCACAGAAAATCCTAAGGTTTCTGGAATGAGTAAGTGCAGCATAGTTACAGAAATCACAGCTAAAATATGGAATTAAATTGTACTTTTTATCCTAGCAACAAGGAAAACTTGAATTTTTAAAAATTTAAGTAACATATAAAATGAAGTGTTAAGTGATAACAAAAATATATAAGATGTACATACAGAAAAGTATACAGTATCACTTAAACAAACTGAAGAAAGCTTAAATAGATATTTTCTTTTCAGGATTTTGAAAGACACAATATTGTCAATTTTTCCAAAACTGATCTATGGATTAGTGCAATGCAAATCAAAACTCCAACAGGATTGTTTCTAAAAACGGATAAGATACTTTTAAAATCCAAATTCTAAAGGAAATGCAAAAAGCCTACAATAACTGAGCAATTTATAGAAAAAATATACGCATAGCTAGAGGACTCACACTGATTTCAAGGCTAATAATACAAACAATACATTATTAGCATAAAGACTGGCACACAGACCAATGGGATAAAATAGACATTTCAGAAATATATTCACACCTATCTGGGTAACTGATTTTGAACAAATTGTAAAGGCAAGTCAGTGATGAAAGGATAATCTTTTTTTTTCTTTTTCTTTCTTTTTTAATATAGGAGAGCAAGAGTTTATTTAGATCAGAGTACACTGTCAAGAGGGACAGCACTCAAGTTTCCAAGAGAGGAATCTTGCAGTTAGGATAAGAGATTGGGTTTTTTTTTTAAAGCAAAATATATATTGGTACATTTTAGAAATACATAATTATAACATTCATCATAGGGAATCTGTATGTGTACATGATATATCTTGCTTCTTTCCTCCCATTCCCGTTTGACCCCTCTTCTCCATATTTACAAAAGTTTTGTTTCCATTTCCCCTTCTATTCTCTTTTTGTTTTCTTCCCCTTCTTTCCTTCACCCTTCCTCCTTCCCTTATTCCCCTTCTTATGCGAACATTTTCTTACCATTTCTCAACATCTATTATATACTTTGGTCCTTATTTCCATTTTTAGTTTCTCACATAAGAGAAACAATGTGGTATTTAAACATGTGTGTCTATTTATTTCACTTAATAGTATAGTCTCAAGATGCATAGAAATATCTCAAGCTTATCCTTCTTTATGGCAGAGTAGTACCCCATTGTATAAAAACCCCACATCTTTATCAAATCATCAGTTGATGGACATTTGGGCTGTTTTCAAGATTAAACTATTACAATCTGTGCTGCTATAGACATGAGTGTGCATATATTGCTGTGTGTTGTAGTCAGTGTTTTGGCAAGGGAATACATTAAATACAAGACACATAATTTATAGGATTATTTTATGATAATTACTCAAAAAGTCAAAAGAGTGCATTTGATTAACTGCACACTAGGGACCCAAAGAATCCAGCCAAGGGCCTGGATCCCAGCAATCTCCCACACAAGTCCAGCTAAAGGCTTAGAGCCCATGGCAATGTCTCATGCTTGCCCGTATTGAGGATCTGCACCTGGAAGGCCCAAAGGCCAGTGGTGGAAGCCACAAAACCTATGCCAGTGAGATGAAGGATTTGTGCCACCAAACTGTGGGATCCACAATGGGGCCAGGAAGTGATGCTCACAGTGAAGATCAGAGCTCCTCTGACGAAAACAGCTACCATTCATTCCCAGCAAGAGCAAGGCCCTGAGCTCCTCCACTAACGAGAACAGCCTAGTTCACATCAGGAAAACCATCCACAGCAAGCTTCTTCTAGAAAATCAACAGGTAAGATCTTCCCCTCCAGTTCTCTTTTTATGGCTATTGACAATAATCCTCAGGTGGATTCTCCACACCCAGACCACAGATTCAGTTCAGCTGGGTATTACAAGTTGAGCATTAGTTAACCCACTACATTGTGGAATGATGCTTTTAACTCTTTTGGGAAGGTACTAAGAAGGGGACTAGCTGGGTCAAATGGAACTTCTAGTTTTAGTTTTTTTTGGAAATCTCCACACTGATTTCCACAGTAGTTACACCAGTCTATACTCCCACCAACAATGGAGAAGGGTTTCTTTTTCTCCACAGCTCTGTCAACATTTGTTACTGGTTGATTTTTTTCATAAGTCATTTTTTTTCTGGAGTTGGAATCTCAGCATTCTTTTAATTTGCAGCTCTTGAAAGGCCAATGATGTTGAACATTTTTTCATATATTTATTTGCTGTTTCTATTTCTTCATCTGAAAAGTGCCTATTCATTTCAGATGCCCATTTCTGGGTTCGGCCTTTACATATGCGGGGTCTGATTTTTTGAGTCATTTATATATTCTAGATATTAATCCTTTGAGGAACAGCTGGTAAAAATTTTTCCCCACACTGTGGGTTGTCTCTTCACTCTGTTGGTTTTTCTTGCTGCACAAAAGCATTTTAAAGGATGAGATCCCAGTTGATGATTCTTTGATAGTTCCTGTGTGACTGGGGTTTTGTTCATAAAGTCTTTGCTTACGCTAATGTCCTTGAGAGTTCTACCTAATCTATCTTCCAACAGATTTTGTGTTTCAAGAATCCATTTTGATTTTAGTTTAGTACATAGTGAAAGATATCAATCTAGCGTTAATCTCTGGCAAACAGAAACCCAGTTTTTTCCAGCACCATTTATTAAGGAAGCTATGTTTCTTCCAGTGAAGGGTTTTGCCTCCTTTGTCAAAGATAAGGTTACTGTGTAGTTGGAATTGTTTCTGCATCTTCTAATCTGTTCCACTGAGCCTTGGGTCTGTTTTTCTTCCAGTACAATGCTGTTTGATCACAGTAGCTTTGTAGTATAATTTCAGGGACTGTGATGCCCTCTTGCCTTGCCTTTGTTGCCCAGAATTGCTTTTGCTATTCTAGGTCTCTTCTTGTTCCAAATGGATTTTAGGATTGTTCTAATTTAGTGAGATAATGCTATTGGAATTCTGATCAAGATTGCATTAAATTTCTATAAAAATTTTAGAAGTATGGCCATTTTCACTATATTGGTTTTTCCTACTCAAGAACAAGGGATACCTTTGTTCACCTTTTTCAGAGTACTGTAGTTTTCCATGTACAGGTATTTTACTTCATTAGATTGGTTACTAGGTATTTCATTATTTTAAATGCTATTATGAAAGGTGTTGTTTCCCTAATTTCTTTCTCAGTGAGATTATTTGTGTATAGGAAGGCTATTGATTTTTGAGTGCTGATTTTGTATCCAGCGACACTACTGATTTTGGTTATTAAATCTAGAAGTCTTTTGGTGGAATTTTTGGGGTCTTCTATGTACAGTATCATGTTCTCTGCAAATAATGATAATTTATCTTCCTTTCCTATCCTTATTCCTTTTATTTCTTTCTGTTATCCAATTGCTCTGGCTGATGTTTCCAGAACTATACTGAATAAGAATGGCAACAGTGGACATCCTTGTCTTGTTCCTGATTTTAGAGTGAAAGCTTTCAGTTTTTCACCATTTAGTTCGTTTGTGATAGATGGCTTTATCAGATTGAGATAAAGACCATCTATTCCATTTTCTGTAGGGTTTTTACCATGAACAGGTGTTGGGATTTGTCAAAGGCTTTTTCTGCATCTATTGAGATGATCATGAGGTTTTTGTCCTTGGCTCTGTTGATATGGTATATTACATTTATTGATTTGTGTATGTTGAACCATCCCTGCGTCCAACAGATTTCTGCAGGATGTTGATTTCACCCTTTTCATTCCTAAATGCATGAATATGAGTCTTTTTTAAAATAAGGTTGGCTAAGCATTTGTCAATTTTAATCTTTCAAAGAACCAACTCTTCAATTCATTGAGTCTTTGTATTGTTTTCTTAGTCTCCATTAATTTCTACTCTGATTTTTAGAATTTTCTCCCTCATAGAAGCCCTGGGCTTGATTTGCTCTTCTTTTTCTAGAAACTTTGACGTTCAACATTAGGGTGTTTTTCACTCTCTTTTCCTGATATTTCACTTGTAGGACTGGTTTCATTGTGTCTCCTCAATTCTGGTATGTTGTATTGGCATTATCATTTAATTGTAGAAACTGTCTAATTTCTTTAATTTCATCTGTGACCCACTGGTTGTTCAAGAGGGTGTTAATTCCATGTGTTCATGAAGTTCTTGTGGTTTCTTTTGTCACTGATTTCCAATATCATTGCACTATGGTCTGATTATATGAATGAGAAAATTTCAATTCCTTTGCATTTACTTAAGTATGTTCTATGAGCTAGTATATGGTCTATTTTGCAGAATGTCTTGTGTGCAGCTGAGAAGAATGTGTACTATGATTCTGTGGGGTGAACACTCTGTAGACGTCTAATAAGTCCATTTGTTCAAAAGTTTGGTTCAGTTCTAATATTTCATTGTTGGTTTTTTGCCTAATTGCTCTATTTGTGTCATTGGGGTATAAAAGTCCCATTACAATTGTGTTAGTGCTTATTTGATTTTTCATGCCTGTTAATATTTCTTTTATATACTTGGGTACACCGGTATTTGGTGCATATATATTTATTATCTCTTTCTCTAGGACTGCTGTCTTTATAAGGACATAGTGACCTTTGCCTCTCTTAATCAGTCATAGCTTAAAAGCCACTTTGTCTGCAAAGAGAATAGTTACTCCTCCTTTTTTCTGGGTTCCTATTGCATGGAATATTGTTTTCCATCCTTTGACTTTCAGTCTATGAATTTCTTTTTGAATTAAATGTTTCTTGTATGCAGCATATTGTTGGATCTTGCTTCTTGATTCATTCTGCCAGTCTGTTTCTTTTGATTGGTGAATTGAGACATTTAACATTGATGGTTATAACTGATATGTATTGACTTATTCTTGTCAAGTTATTTTCCTGTCATTGGCTCCCTTTTTCTTCCTCTGTATAATTTCTTGCCATACTTGGTAGATTCATTCTGTTGTGGTTCATGGAGTTGTAATCCTTGTTATCTCTTTCTAGAATATCCTTCAGAACACTTTAGAGTGCTGGCTTGGTCTTCATGAATTTCCTCAGGTGTTCTTTGTCATTGAAGTGTCTTATTTTTCCATCAAGTTGGAAAGATAGTTTCATGGAATGTTCCATAAAAGGGTTTCACATACACATCAATATTTGGGCCTTTATTTATTCAACAGATAGTTGAGGCATTGAATGCTAATCCTCTGCCAAGCACTGGAGACATGAAGGCGATCTCCCAGTCATTTTGTAATAGCAATTAGAGAACTGTAGTTTAAGAACTGCAAGCAGTAGCTGCACTGAGACCCTGTTCACCTGTACATTCCAGCCTTACTCTGGACCTGCCATGTCAGAAGCTCTGAGGCTGCCACCGGCAACCTGAGTTTTAACAAGTCCTCCAGGTGATCCTAATTCATGCACAGCTTTGATATAAAATAGCCCTTAATTTATACATTAAAAAATTGAGGCACAGAAAAGAACATAACAGACTTGATATATAAAAGACACTTTTTCTCACTATTTACCCTTAGAGATTAGAAAAGTATCTGTGATAAAATACGGGGACCCATAACAATGTTTCAGTGAAGAACTGAAAAAATCCTCCAAAGAGCTGTGCCATCACCTACTTACGGTAATAGCTCAAGCATATAATCCTACTTGTTCTCCCACCCAAGTACTAACCAGGCCTGACCCAGCTTAGCTTCTGAGGTCAGACAAGATTGGGTGCATTCAGGGTGGTAAGGTCGTAGACTGTACTTGTTGAAAATGTGCTTATTACTAGTGAATATATTTCTTCTGAAAAGAGAAATGTTCAACATGACATAAAGAATAAATTTTTTTTGGTACCGGGGATCAAACTCAAGACCCTGTGCTTGCCAGGCAGGCATGGCACTCCAAGAATAAAAATTTTTAAACTATTATCTTTGATGCTTGCATAAAATAGTTACCAAAGGTCATCACTACCAACACTATTCAATATTGGCATACCTTATTATTTTGCTTTAATTTACTTAATTCCAGTTTATACTTTTCTACTTCTTCTAGGGCTCTATTCAAGCGAACTTCTGTAGCACTTCGACTGGTGGCCGCCTGTTTTTGTAGTCGTTCTTTATTTTCCAATTCCTGTGCAGTAAAAAAAGATATGAACTATTTAAATATTGTAAGTTCTCTTTATATTTTACAACATTTTTCCATTTTCATATCCCTTTTCTTCCAAATTTTATAACCACACATGGGGCTGAAGGCAGAGATGATGGAACTGTTCTATATCATGATTATGGTGATGGTTAAACAATTGCATGCATCTGTGAAAACTCAGGAAACTGTATACTAAAAAGTGAATTTCCTGTATACAGGAGCACAGAACTTCCTCCAAAATAGACCATATTTTAGGCCATAAAGCAAGTCTCAAAAAATATAAAAGAACTGAAATAATTTCATGTATCCTATCAGATCACAATGGAATAGAACTAGAAATAAACAGTAAAGACAAAACAAAACAAAATGAATACATGGAAATTGAATACTACACTCTCGACTGATCAATGGGTCACTGAAGCACTGAAGAAATAAGAGGACAAATGTAAAAGTGAATCAAACAGTAATGGAAACAGAGGATATCAGAATCTGTGGGATATAATGAAAGCAGCTGTAAAGAGCAATTTATAACTATAAATGCCTACATTAGAAAAACTGAGTGATCCCAAATAAATAACCTAATGATATATCTAAGATCCTAGAAAAACAAGAACAAACCAAACACAAAACTAGTACCAGCAGAAAAAAAGACATAACAAAAAGATCACAGAGCAGATCAATGAAATTGGAACTAAAAATAAAACAAAACAAAATAAAATAAAAACCCAAAACAAAACACCACAAAGGATCAATGAATCAAAGAGTTGGTTATTTAAAAACAAAAAACAAGACTGAAACCCTTAGTCAAACTTACCAAAAGAAAGAGAGAAGGCCCGTGTTAATAAATTAGAGATGAAAAGGTGAAATTACAAAAGACACCACTGAAATATACAGAATTATTAGAAATTATTTTTTGAAAACATATTACAGTAAGTTTGTAAATCTAGGAGAAATGGATAAATTCATATACTAGACATATACGACCTATGAAACTGCTCCAAGATATAAAAAAAAATCTAAGCAGATTACTAACAAGGAATGAGAATGATTCAGTAATAAAAATTTTACTAAGAAATACACAGGACCCACTGGATTTACTTCTGAATTTTACCAGACCTATAGGGAAGAACTAATACCAATGCTCCCCAAACTTTTCCACAGAAAAGTAAGGAATGCTTCCACATTCACTCTATGAAGCCAACATTATAGCAAGTCCAAAACCAGATAAGGACTCAACCAAAAAAGAAAACTACATGCTCGTATCTTTGATGAACACAGATGCAAAAATCCTCAATAGGCTGGGGATTTAGCTCAGTGGCACTGCCCTGAGTTCAGTCCCTGGTACCAAAAAAAAAAAAAAAATCCTCAATAACATTCTTGCACACAGAATTCAATAACACATTAAAAAGAGCATACACCACGATCAAGCTTATTTCATCCCAGAGATGAAGGATGGTTCAACATATGTAAATCAATAAATGTAATACACATAAATAGAATCAAGGCTTAAAAAACAAGCATGATCATCTCAGTAGATACAGGAAAAGCCTTCAACAAAATCCAACAACCTTCCTGATACAAAAACGGGTGAAAATAGGTTTAGAGGGATCTTGCATGAAACTGATAAAAGCCTTATGTGACAAATCTAGTCAACTTTATACTGAGCAGGGGAAAACTGAAAGCATTTCCTTTAAAATCAGGAATGATACAAAGCTGTCCACTTTCATTACTCCTGTTCTATGCAATATTTGACACTTTAGGCAGAGCAATCAGGTAACAGAAAGAAATAAAGAGAGATATAAATAGGAAAGGAGAAAGTCAAATTATCCTTATTTGCAGATTTTATGAACATTCACACAGAAGAGAAGACCCAAAACAACTGCACCAGATTTTAGATATGATAATCAAATTGAACAAGGTAGCAAGACACAAAATTAACGCATAAAAATCAGTGGTGTTCCTTCCTATACACCAATAATGAAGCCGCTAGGAAATCAGGAAAACAATTCCATCATAATAACTTCAAAAAATTAAATACTCAGAAATTTAATTTTTGACCTCACCAAGGAAGTGAAAAGTCCTCCATAATGAAAATCACAGAACTCTATAAAGAATGAAATTGAAGGGGACATTAGAAAATGGAAAGTGTCTCATTCTTGGATAAGAAAAATTAATATTGTGAAAATGGCCATATTACCAAAAATGATCTACAGATTCAATGCAACCTTTATAAAAATACTCAAAACATTCTTCTCAGAAGTACAAAAAACAATCCTAAATCCATAAGGTATCAGAGAAGACCCCAAAGAGCCAAAACAATCCTCAGCAAAAAACAAAAACAAGAACCAGAAAACAAAAGGCATAAAACAAACAAAAAAATAATGCAAGGGACATTATAATACCAGATTTGAAACTACACTACAAAGCCATAGTAGCTACAACACATGGTACTTGCATAAAAACAGACCAGACCAATGGAACAGAAAAGAAAACAGAAAAATAAACCCATGAACTTACAGTCATCTGTTACTTTGACAAAGGGGACAAAAACATATGTTAGAGAAAAGAATGCCTCTTTAACAAATGGTGCAAGGAAAACTGGCACAAGCAGAAGATAGAAGCCAGACCCTTGTCTCTCACCATGCATTAAAATCAAATCAAAATGAATCAAAGACCTAGGTATAAAACCGAAACTTTGAAATTGCTAGAAGCTAACAGGGGAAACACTTGAAGCCATACACACAAAGACTTCTTGTACAGAACTCCACAGCACAGTAAATAAAATCAAGAATCAACAAATTTAAAAGCTTCTATATAGCAAAGAAAACAATCAGCAGGGTGATAATGTAACCCACAGCACGGGAGATAAGCTTTGCTAGGTACTCTTAATAGAGGATTAATATCTAGACTATATAAAGAACTCAAAAATAATAACCATCCAAATAACCCAAACAAAAAAATGGGCAAATGAACTGAACAGATGCTTCTCAAAAGAAGAAATATGAATGGCTACTAGGTACATGAAAAAATGTTCAACATCTTTGTTATGGTTTTTATCTGGATGTCTCCCCAAAGCCTCAAGGACTTACAGGTGGGGTTTTTGGGAAGCGATTGTATCATAGGGACGTGTTACTTAGCAGTGGATTAGCCCACTGATGAGTTTACTGCTGTGAGGTTGGGAGTGAATCCTGGTCAGAGGAGGTGGTCACTGGGGGTGTGGCCTGGAATTGTCTATCTCCTTCCCTCTGCCCTTGATCTCTCTCTGCTTCCTAACTTCCAGGCCATGAGCAATTCTCTGCCGTGCTGCCCTGCCTCAGAACCAGTTGACTATGAATTGAAACCTCTACAAACTCTAAGCCAAAATAAACCTTTCCTCTTTTAATATGTGGATGGCAAGAATTGTGTCTCAGCGGTGAGAAAGTAACTAAGACAATCTTTGTTTATTTAAAAAATGTAAATCAAAATTACTTTGAGATGTCATCTCACCCCAATCAGAATGGCTATCATCAAGACACAAAAATGATGACTGCTGCCTGCCAAGGATGCAGGGAAATAGGAACCTTCCTTTTGTGGGAATGTAAACAAACACTATGGAAATCAGTATGGAGATTCTTCACAAAACTAAAAATAGAAATATCATTTGGTCCAGCTATAAGTCTCTTGGGAATATTGCTGAAAGAATTAAGGTATCATGCTATAAGGATACATACATACTCATGTTTATAGCAGCACAGTTCACAATAGCTAAGCTGTACAAACAGCCTAGGTGCCCACTAACAGATGAATGGACAAAGATAATGTGATACAGATACACAATGAATATTATCCAGCCACAAAGAAGGATGAAATCATATAATGTGCATGAAAATGGCTAGAACTGGAGATCGTCATGTTAAATGAAATAAGCCAAATTGAGAATGTTAAACATCACATGTTTTGTTATATGAGAAACCAAATAAATAAATAGAAGAGGGATGACTCTTCTGGGGAAGAGAGCACAGGTAGGAAACAAGAAAGAGGTAGGTAACAAGACAAAATGATTCAGGTAACAAACTTCACCATTCTGTAATACTAATATTCAGTAATTTTTGTACATGATCATAAGGTCATAGCAACATTATTTAAAAATTGGCAAACTGTGAAAATGACCCAAATATCTACCAGTTGATAAACAAAATGTATTGTATCTATATAGTTAAATGTTAGGGCAATAAAAAGAATAAAATACTGATTAATACTATAACTTGAATGAACCTTGAAATCATTATGTAAAATAAAGTAGTTACGAAAGACTACATATTATATGAGTCTATGTGCTTAAAATTTCCACAGTACACAAACCCATTGAGACAGAAAATATTATTGGTTTCCTAAGGCTAGAAGGGATTGAGGAGTGTGGTGGTAAAGGGTACAAGGTATCTTTTTTATGTTATGAACATGTTTTAAAATTGATTGTGGTTATAGTTTTAGAATTCTGTGAATAAAACCCATTGAATTATATGCTTTTTTAAAGAATAAAATATGGTATGTGAATTATATCTCAACAGAGTTGTAAAAATAATCTCTCTTTTGGCTTATATTTAGATGTCCCTCCAAAGCCTCATGCACTCATAGGTGGGGCTTTTCAGAGGTGACTGGATCTAGGGTGTGTGAATATGGATTAAGGATGTGTGATAATTCGATTAGTCCACTGATTGGTTTAGCATAGTTCTGAGTGTGGATAATGAGAAGGCCTACCTGGGTGTGAGAGACACCAACCAATATGCTTGTAGTCGGAATGGAATATAAAATAGAAAGGAAAGCTCAATGCTTCACTATTGCCTGCCTGCCATGCTATGGGTTATTTCTCTTCAACCATGCTGTCCTGCCTTGGTGCCGGCCGACTATGCACAGAAACCTCCACAAACTAGGAGGTAAAATAAACCTTTCCTCCCTTTACTTGCGGGTGTTGGATATTTTGTCCCAGCAATGAGGAAGTAACTAAGACACTCTCCTATACAAGGCGGAGACTTTTCAGCATTACCTGAACAACCGAAAGTGTTCCCTATCGATGTGTATCTTTAATAGTGTTAGTGTATCTTCATGATTAAGTTAGGAAAAATAGCAAAATTATTACCCTTTCTACTGAAGATAATTGTTGTTGTAATCCATCACATTTTTTGTTTGCGTCTTCAAAAAGATTTTTGTATTTTTCGATTTGGGACTGTTGTATATTAATTGTTCGCTGCTGCCTTGCACCATCTTCTTCAAAGTTTTTTACTTGAGACTTTAAATCCTGAATATCATCCTCCTATAGTAAAGAAATTATAAATTATGTGACAAAATGCACAAGACAGTATCAAATCAAAGCAGAAAACAAAAAAGCTTCTGTAGTTTTAATAAAATATTATACACAATTAATGAAGGAAAAAGTATATTCCACTTTCATCTTCAGAAATGGAAGTCAGATATTTGATTTAATAGTTTACCTTGTAAGTCCGATATAGAGAATTCTAATTAACAAGTTTTAAAAATCCTTTAGCTTTGTGATAATTCAAAATCTCAGAAAAAAGTTCAGTATTTATATGTGAGGACTTCACTCAAAATTTGACTAAATTATATCTAAATAAGGATACTCAACAAATAAAATTAAAACTGCCCCTCAAATGTCTTTGGGGAGAATGTGTTTAAAATTAGCACGTTTGCAGTACATGGTGATTACATTCCTTGTGCGGAGTTGGTACACGTACATAACACATCCGAATTCTTTTTGGCATTCCCTTTCCCTCTCTCTCCCCTCTGCCTCCATGTCTTGGTCTCCTTCCTACTTGAGAAGAGATATTTCTTTTGAGAAGTTTTTAAAACTTACATTTTTTTTGGTACCGGGGATCAAACTCGGGACCTTGCGCTTGCGAGGCAGGTACCAGAACCACTGAGTTAAATCCCCAGCCCCCAAAACTTACCTTTTTATTGCATTCACATACAACATTATCCAGCTCCTCCCGCATAACATGGAGTTTGGCCTTTAGAAATCTGATCTGTGCCTCTGTGGATTTAAATGACTGTATTTACTTCCTTTTGCTGAATCTAAGACATCATCAATCATAAGACAAACTATTATTTTATGAGGAAAACAGTGCTCAAAATGGGGAATCCAGTAGTTTATCTCTACTAGGGGACATTAAAGACATTAAATGTTATTGTAAAAAATAAATCCACTCAATAGAACAGCTAGGAATTGTTCATATTTCCTCATGGAAACTGAGTTAATAAAGGGGGAGGAAAAAAAATCTCTCCAGAGAATGACCCATAAGCTTGTACATACTGAACACATCCTTATGAGAGTGGCCCAGAACATGTCAAACAGAATTTACAGCGGGGTCAGATCAATAAGGTCCCTAGGTATTCACAGAAACAAAAACAAATCTTCTCTAGCAAAATTCTGCTTCAAATTTTACAAAGCACTCTATGTTCCCAAACTACTTTTAAATTTTTTCTTCTAACACATAACCCAGCCATTCCAAGTAATCATCTGGAATAAGGGAAAATACTTGCAAGAAGGAATACTTCTAGGCCAAGGACACTGCAAAGGAAACATACTGAGACACAGTGGCAGAGAGGTTATTCAGTAGTAAGAAAAAAGGAGCATTAAAGTCTGCTTGTCTTGGTTCTTAGTTTCTGGACGCACGAACACAATATCAGGGCCTGGGTGGCTCTCTAACCGATGAACAGCCAAACTCTGGCCATCACATCCTTGAATCCTCTTTCATACAGACTGAAAGGCAGCTTTTTTCCCTGCAACTGTCCCAGAAAGCCTGATTATGTCAGCAAATAGCAGAAATACATAAATGAACCGCTATTCACTTAGGATTAATATGCAACCCAGTAATCATTACACATACAAATTATTATTATTTTTCACAGAATCACTGAATTTTAAAGATAGACTTTATAACCATCTTTAATAAACGGCTAAATTTCAAATGATGAAATTGCTATTGCAAAGGGGCTAAGTGACTTGTCTGAAGTCATGATTACTTGTACTGTTTTATAGCGCACCATTAACTATGCTCATACATACTCAATTGCCTTATTTTTTGTTTCAATAGCATAGGTGGCGACTCTTACATTAAATAATTTTAGAGGCAAAACTTGTAACTAATGTAATATTTTTTGATGATCCAAACAGTATTATTATGTCTACTGTTATGCAGAGGATGAGTTAATAAGGAAAATTTGATGAGAAAATTCACATGAGTATACCTGATGCCACATCAATAATTCATTTATCCCTTGACATGTGTTGATTTAATTCCCAATAAATAACATATAATAATAAAGGAATTTAGAGAAAGTTTTTTCATTTTTAAAATGTTTTAATGATAAGGTGTAGGGCATTTTAATTTTAGTTGAAAGTACTCAATAAACTTAAAACAGTAGTAGAGTCTTTTTAATTTTTACTTTTTATATTAGGAAATATCAAATAGATACAAAAGTAAAGAGTCAAGTTCAATGAACTCTCACTTATGCACTACCCCTCTTCAACAATTACTGACACGTGAACAATTTCATCTTTAATCCTGCACTCATTCCAAGTCTCACCAGATTATTCATTAAATCTAAGATGTCATGATAAAGTTTCTAAGCTCAAGAAGCAGTTCACAAAGATCTGTTGCTTCAAATAATTGTGATGAAAGGAAAAATGACAATTAAAAGAAAACATACTTGTTCCAATATCTTTACTAACACCAGAGAAAATCTCATCATCTGTATGTTCAGGTAAGCCTTCTTCCTCCAGCTGCCCTTCAATTTTGCTAATTGTCTTTGCAAGAGAAAAGTCTGAAAAATCCTCTGGAATGGCGACATCACTGGCAGTTTGTACATTGCAGTATTTTAATTTAACACTAAGAAACAAAAAGTAAATATGTATATAAACAAAAGTAGAAAGATAGAAAGGAAATATGGCTTTTGCCCAAATGACAAAGCAGATCAAAATTATTATATATTTTAAATTTATGAAGAAATATATAATTGGTACTTTCAAAGACCGCACAACTGAATAGACTTTCAGGCAGTAATCGACAAAACCTAAATTCTAGTCCCCATTCTAAGAAAATACCACTGAAAGTAATATTTAAGCATTTTGAAGTGGTGAGTTTGCTAAAGACAACAGTACATTTTCATCAACTACTACAAAATGTTTCTGAGTAGAAAATGTTTTAAATCACTGAATGTGGTAGGATACAGGTGGTGTAACTATTTTGGGTACATAAATGTCTGGAGAAATAAAAAGAGGTTAATAGTTAAGAATGATGATGTTGTGAACTACAAAACAAAAGAGAAAGTAATACTTTAAAATTATATTGTACCTTGAATTTGCTTTCCTCCCTTTATTTGCAGACTGTAGCTTATTTTGAACTTTGTTTATAGGACCAGTGTTTTTGTTCTTCAGCTACAAGAAAAGAATTGAAACTAAATTTAATTGTCATGGAAAGCAATTTCACAACACATGAAACTGCGGTTTTGCTACAAATAAGAATTGTTATTTTCACTGAATTAATTCAATTGTATTTTTAAGAATCCTAGAATTGTGTACCTGTGACCAACCTGTGTATCATCCAGACCGAGAGATTCAAGGATAAGGAAAACGAGTTCCAAAGCTTCAAGGATATTCAGCTGGTTAGTGGAATACTAAATCTGGATATTTTGACCCACAGAGCTTAGTTTTCAATAACCAACTATGTCCCAGTCTGGCCTTCCCTGGCCTTCAGCTATACAATTCCCTCGGCCTAGATCTTTAAAATGTGATTTCATACCTTAGTTTCTGAATGTAGATGAACTATCCCTTCATATGATAATGGATCTCTAAAGACCAAAAATAAACATTATACATGAATAACATGATATTAAGCTGAGACAATGAAATTCAACAGCAATTATATTTGAAAGGAAAAATATACAACTATTGATATAATTTTAGTTATCCACATACTTTGAATAAATTATATATAAAATTTTACTTCTATATCTTTCAAAGATACATAAATTAGAATTATATTTTGCTGTAATTCAAGTTATCCATGTTAATTTATTTTGAATGAGTATCATTAGAAATGTGCTTTGGTTAAATATTTGCCTCTGATAAGACATACTACAACACCATTATCACACCATAATCCAGTATCACACACCCATTATCCAGCCACCCCCCCAAAAGCCTCACTTATGAATGCCTGAGGCTTTGTGGAGTATCTAGATATAAGCCATAATAGAGCCAAATAACTGTTAACTTTAGAAACACATTTTTGGGGGGTTTTTTTGTTTCTCACTCCTGTAAGGTTTAAATATTATGCTCTCTTAGGGTTGAGCTCTCATAGCCTGCTTCTTGATCTCAGATTAGGGAACCCAGAGAGAGCTTAAGATTTACACAGGCATAAATAATTTTGGTCTACTTTTAGAGTTTCTCTGCTGGTACAGTTCTCTCAAAAACTAGTGCATTTCTTATCCATTTGATTCTAGTCAGTTCTGTGTGGCATTATGATATCCACGGTTCTTTCCAAGATTATAATTATTATACAGTAGCTCCCCCTCAAATGCAGGGAATATGTTCCAAGGTGCCTCGTGGATGCCTAAAACGATGACAGTATCAAATGCTATATAAATTATGTGTTTTCCTCTATACACCCACCTCTGGTAAAGTTTAATTTATAAACAAGGAACAGCAAAAATTAACAATACCTCATAATAAAAGACAGTAATATGCTGTAATAAATTGTAATAAAAGTGGTGTGAACGTGGACACTCTCAAAGCAGCCTGTTACACTGTACCCACTCTTCTTGTGATGATGTGGGGTGACAAAATGCAGATGTGGTGAGATAGAGATGAGTGATAGTGGCACGGTGACACCGGTTAGGCTGCCACTGACGTTCCTCCTTGAATACACACGCTGCCATACCACAAGATTGATCTGTTAACTAAGGTGGCTCCTAGGCATGTAACTAATGGTTGACAGTGTACACAGTATGGATGTGTTCAACAAAGGGGTGACACACACATGAGACAGCATGCAGCAGGACAGCTGAGGTTTCATCAAGGTGCTTAGAAGAGTGCGCAATCTGAAACTTATGAATTGTCTTCTTCTGGAATTTTCCACTGATAAATGCAAGAGACTTGGAATGTTTGATAATCACCACTGCCTCTGCTACAGTAAGATTTTGTAATTTTACTTGTGAAGATCCTATACTTTTCGTGTTAAATTTATCTCTAAATATAATTTTTAGTTCCCTAATTTCCTGGCTATGCTATGATTTGGATCAAAATGTCCCCCCTAATCCTCATGTGTTTAGAGGCAGAGCTTCTGGAAAGTAATTAGATCATGGAGATGCTAACGTAAGTGGTTTACCCTTTGATGAAGTGGATGAGCTGTTAAGAGGGGGGCCTAACCGAAGGAAGTTAGTCCCTGGGGTGTGCTTTGGCTTTTTTTTGGTACCGGGGATCAAACTTGGGTCCTTGTGCTTGCGCAGCAGGCGGCTAAACCACTGAGCTAAATCCCTGGCTCTTGGGGTGTGCTTTGGAAGGGTGCATCTTCTTGGGCTCCTCCTCTGCTCTCTACTTCCCAGCTGCCAAGAGGTGAGCAGTTTTCCTCCCTAACACACTTTTGTCGTGATATCCCTGCCTTGGAGCCAGCCAACCGTGGACTGAGACCTCTGAGACTGTGCTAAAGTAAACTTTTCTTCCTGTAAGTTGTTTATGTCAGATACTTTATCCCAGCAACAAAAAGCTAACAGAGAAGATCAGATGTTTACATAAAATTCAAGAGAAAAAAGTAATATGCATTATCCTTTCTAATATAATTATCTTTACTTAATCTTCACAGGCATTACAGGTAGTACAGTATATGAGAGCAAGTTTAAAAATTATATCATTTGTGATTTGTGAAAGGATGCACTTTTCTATATGCCCTCTGGGCAAGCTGCTGACCCTCTCATTTCTCAGAAATGCAGTTTTAAAAGGAGAACATTAATATTTATTTTAAAATAATACATTTGAGAGTTATATAACATAAAGTAAATGGCTTGCCTTTTAGTAGCTAAGTAGCATATGCCTCCAGTTATTATTTTATATCTTACTCCTCTTCAAATTATGAGCTTTCAACATGTGCATGCAAAAAACATATATAGTAAAAGATTCATATAGGTAATGAACTTTTTAAAAACAAGTGTTTTTTTTAGAGTTTAAGTCACTTACCTTATGCTACCAGAATCTTCTGCTCCATATGATTTATTTTGTGTTGAAAAAGGCCTAGATTGTACCTCCTGCTGATCTCTCTAGTTAAATGAGTAAAATAAGTCATATGTAACATAGAAAAAAATAAAACTAGGATACATTCAAGTACCTTTCTGTGGCGTTGTTTTTTTCTATATGTAAATATATTTTTTCTTTCTTTTCTACATATAAATATATTTTCTTTCTTTCTTTTTTTCTAGATGTAAATATATTTTCTTTCTTTCCTTTCTTTCCTTCTTCCTTTCTATCTTTCTTTCTTTTCTCTCTCTCTCTTTCTTTCTTTCTTTTCTTTCTTTCTTTCTGGGATCAAACTCAGGACCTTGAGCTTGTGAGGCAAGCAGCAGAACCACTGAGCTAAATCCCCAGCCCTCAAGTACCTTTCTGAACATTAATCATTACAGATTTTCCATGGTTTTTATGACACAAAAACACAGAAATTGAAAAGTTATAGTATGAAAGTAAGGCCTATTCTATTATAGCTTCACTTTTCATTGATTCTGGGGCAAAAACTCAATCCAAAGGAGAAAATAAAAGAATGCAGAGGTCCTTTTAAGACATTTCCAGTTCCTGCTTCCCCACTACAGTCTTCTATTGTATGGAGCATGGAATGAAAATTAGAAAGAGATAAAAAATTCTTTTAAATATCTAATTATTAGGTAGGAAAACATCTCAAATCAGGTAAAACTTGTGTTGAGAATACTGTGAAGATGCTAAAAATCAATTATTGGGAGTAAGAGATGGCAAAGATATATTGAAAAAGGAAAGCTAATAAACAAATTCTATAGGGCCAGTTATATTCAGTAGTTAGCTTCTATAGGACGGAGGAATGTTTTCCTCTTTTCCAATCCTTCTTAGTTTTCTCTTTTGCTCTTTTTTTGGAAGAAAAGAAATTCTTTTTAGGTAACTCTACATATGAATCTCTTATTCTGCTATAATGTGGGGTCCTACTGTACAAGTATTTTCCTGTTCTGACACTGGCAAAACTAAAAATGGAATCAAAACATTTATTTATAGTAAAAAAAAAATTATTTTGGAGACAAGGTCTTGCTATGTAGTTCTGGCTAGCCTTGAACTCGCTATGTAGTCCAGGCTGGTCTTGAACTAACTGGCAGCCTCACCCTCCCAAGTGCTGGAATTACAGGTGTGTGTCACCACACCTGCCTAGTAAAATATTTAATTAAAAATGCAACTAGAAAATCTGTAACCATTATCTAAATATATCACTTGAAGTGCTATGTAAGATACATTTATTATTCCTAAATTAACAAACAATCAAGTATTTGTAAAAGGCATTAAAATACTGCTAGATTTCCTTCCCTGCCTCCATCAATTCCATTTTTGGGAAAAGGGAGATTAAAGGAAGAATTATAATTGTGTTAGGGTAAAAACTGGTAAGTTTGAATGCAGCCACTTTATTCCTCTAAGGAAGGCTACTTTATCCTATCAATTAACACTACAAATGCTGACATGTAAGGAGAGATGTTTAAGGAGGAACATCCAATTTGGTACCAGAATGGAGAATGATATTCTTAGATACTTTGTTTTGGTAAACCTCACAACACTGATTGTTCCTGACTAAAAATGTGGTTGTATTCTAGCCCAAAGAATTTGAATTAGATCCAACTGCACAGTTTAAGAAACAAATTATCATTTGAATAAGTGATAATTGTTATCATTTATTCAACTTTCATCTAGAGGCTATTTGATTTCTATCCCTACTGAATTATCCATGTTCATTCTACACAGCTACTCTCAAATATTAATCTTTTGGTGCAAGAAAAGATTGTTACTTATCAGTTTTGTCATAGGATTGCAGCATCTAAATGCAAAATAATTTTTCAGTGGCATTTAGAAAATGTATGCTTACCTAACCAGATACTTACATATATACATAGTGATATCTCTGCATGTATATTCAGGCTTACTTAAGTCTGTGATCATTCACTGAGGTGAACATTTATGCTTTGGGTACTTTTTTGCGTATATGCTATATGTCAAATTAAGAAGTTAAAAAACTAGCACTTACATGGAATTATTAATTGTTCATCTACTTACTATTGCTTCCTCAGCTTGCCGAACAAGATCAGCTGTTTTTGCTTCCAATTCTGCATTTAAACGCCTAAAAGCAGAAAATAAGTTAATAATTGGGTTATAATGAAATCCTAACAAAATAAACTTCAGCATTTAGATATTAACAAGTGACCTAATCAACAAACACTAAAATATACACGACATTCTTACACTCAAAAATGAACACAGCTATTAGAACATATCTCCAAATCCCCGTGGTTCTTCCTTCTTTGTGGTAGGAATACCAATACTGGAAGTCCTGGGCTCTCTTTGGCCCTTTACTCACTTTAATAAATAATTTACAATGAAATAATTTATCTGACTAATAAATTCAAGAATAAGCTGAATGAATTCTACACAGTTCCACTTGTCATCCTCTTGGGTTTGGTTTACCTGCAGAGAATACAAATTATAACCTTGCTTCTCCACACATGGCCCTGCTATACCTAAGGATGGGGCAGCCAGGGTGGGTGACTGGGGAGCTAATATGGGGTTTTGTGAGCAGACCCAGTGTGGCTTGCAACTCCACTGCATATTTCAGTAACAGCTTCATTAGACACAAAGGGGACTCATTTGACTTCCATTTGCCAATCTATTTGGAGGGGGACCTTGTCCTAAAATTAAAAGGGCTGGGGGATGTAGCTCAGTGAAAAGGCACTCAGTACTTTTTCACACAGAAAAAAAAATTATAGACAAGGAAACTTACTATCACTTTTCCATTCCATACTGCATTGTCCTAAGCAGAGTAAAAGGGACAGAACTATTATAATTTGCCTATGTCTGTCCTCATTAAAACAAAAATGTTCAAAAGGAACTCTATAGAATAAATAAGAGAATTCAGCAGGCTGAAGATCTTTATCTACCTAATATATCACAGAAAAAATAAATGTTTCTACACATATAACCTATATAAGAAAAGCTACTCATAGCAACCAGAGATGATACCTTGAAACAACATATGACTTGTATGTAATAAACATTATTAAAAGAACCAAAAAACTCCCACGTAAATGTAGATGTGTATTTGTTGAAGATTCAATAGCATAAACATATAAAATTAATATATAAATTAAATGTAATTGGGATTTATAGGAAGCTTGCCCTACCAGTTATCACATATCTTAGTGTCTGGCTCTCTGGTTTTAGAATAGGAGCATGATGCTTGCAGAATCTACCAATTTGAGTGACTGGTATCTGCCTTAGTCTCTTCTCTCAAAGAGTGGTCATTTCCTGCAACTATGTGAAGGAGGTGAATTGCAGTGAATTCCAGACTGGATTGAGGTCTTTGGGAAATGTCCTGTTCTGCCGACTGATGAAATATCTCAATATGCTTAATACTAAGACAAGTGGCAAACTGTTGTTGTGAACTCATATTCTTGCCTAGAGGATGGCCATTTTACTCTTCTGCATGGCACAGAAAATTGTAGAAAGGTAGAGCCAGGAAATTATTCCTTTCCTATTCCTGAGAGTTGTATACCTCAGAGTACACAGTAACACAATAAGTAACAACTGGCTACGTTTACTATTAAAAACTCTTACTAGAATAGAATTCAGATCATATGTTAACTCTATGTTTAACCCTCCCAGGAACTGCCAGATTATTTTTCAGTTTTAAAATTAATTCATTTTAAATTAAAAAGAAATGAAGTGATCGAATATACTATTTTGTAAGGGTTTATGTGATGGCAAATGTCCCTGTGGGACTTACATTCCAGTGCAGGAGGCAGACAGTAAAAAGAAATTAGAAACATTTATAACTAAATGGATGCATATTCAGACAATACTTTTAAATGAAATAAATAGGACACACATGTGTAAACACTGAATAGTTTCTCTGGTGTGAGAAACTGAAAGTGTAAATAAGGACTAAAAGGTATAATAAATAATGTGAAACATAAGAAAAGGGGCAAAGGGGAAGGAAAAGTGAGAGGGGTGGGGAAAGGAAAGAAGAGAATAGAATATGAGAAAATGGAAAAAATGGAAACAAAGTCTGTAAATAGAGAGGAGTGGAGGGGTTAAAGGGAGGGAAGGGGAATGGGGAAAAAAATTAGAACCAAGAGAGATTACTTGAAGGTGCAAATTTCCAATGATGAATGTCATTATGTTGTATACCTAAAATGTACCAATAAAATTAATTTTTTAAAACAGTAAATGAGTGAACTTATTGGAACAAATTGTGCTAATTGCAAAAAAAAAATGTGAGAAGAAAAAAAAGGAGAAGGGAGAGGAATGACGAAAGGATAGGCAGGAGTCAGATGGAAACACTGCTGTTTTAAACAATGTGATCAAATTGAGAGATCACTGCTCTGTGAAAACAGGAGCACCGAAGGGTGAAGAATGAAAGCACGTGTCTTCAGGACAGCTGTAATTATTTTCAGAATGGGTAGGGAAGGGAAGTCCTCCTAAGTCCACCAAATGTAGATGAGAACGTAATTCTGGTTGCTCTGAGAAACATGTTTTCCATTTAGAAAACAACCCTAAAAGAAGTTTACGTAAGGTCAACTCGGAACTGGAAATGGAGCGAGACGTCCCCGACGAGAGCTGGTCCGCGGCACCCTGTCCTGGAGAACCCTCCGGGGTTCTGAGGCCGAGGAAGACGGACGGGGGAGGACAGGAAGGGGAGGGGGTGTGGATCCGGGGGTACCGGGAGGACGGTCCTGGGGAGCCTCAGTCGGTGGAAGAAGGGAAAGCGCGACGGCCGAGCTTCTTACTTATACTCCTGCTCCTGGGCGAGAAGATCCAGCGACGGGAGTGGGGTTCCCGGGACGCTGCGTCCCTGTAAGAGGGAGAGACCTACAGTTAGAGAGACCGAAGTTCTCGGAAACTGGAAGTCCGCGCAGCCGAATGCTGGCCAATTGAACTGACCCTAAAACCCAAACTTCGACCCGCCATCTTTTGGGACAGCGACGCGGTTACCCAGGCAACGACAGGTTTTCTCGCGAGATCGACCATGTCGCGGAGCCCGGCTCCAGCGCCGTTGGGCGTGGACACCTGTCGGTCTGCGCTCCTCTGGGAGCCCAAAAGCTGAGTAAGTAGTGTGATTTTTCCGGTGGAAGGGTGGGAGGTTCACGTCTCCTTCTGAAACTTAGTAAAAGTTGTGTTTTTCAACTAATCTTGTTCCCCCATCCACTTTATTTTAAATGTACTCTTAAATAGAATTTTTAAGTTCTGATTTCTAGCCTTTAAAAATTTCTTTTAAAAAATCTTTTTTGCAGTACTAGGAGTTAAACCTGGGCCTTCAGACAAAACTACACCCCCTCCCTATTTTTATTTTTTAATTTTGAGACAAAGTCTGGCTAAAATGCTAAATTTCTCAGGCTGGGCGCAGACTTGCCATCCTCCTGCCTCAGCCTCTCAGAGTGCTGCCTACCACACTCCACTGTGATTTACAGCATGGTTAAGAGCTCAGGCTCACATATCCATCGTCCCAAGTTCACATCCTGGCTCTGCCACTTCCTAGATGCATAACTCGACAAATCACTCTGTATCTCAGCTACTTCATCTGTAAAATGGAAGTAGGAATGATGCCCACCCCAGGTGTTATGAGGAGTGAATGAATTCATGCTTAAGATTGTGCCTAGAACACAGTTAAGCCAATAATTCCAATTGTTTTAGAATAAAATAGGAAGTTCTAATATAAACAAACCTTCACATTTACAGTCAACTCATCTTCTTGCAAGGGTACCAAGACCATTCAGTGAGAACAGAATACTCTTCAACAAATGGAGAACAACCTCATAACCACATACAAAAGAATGAAATTAAGCCTGTGCCTCACCATGTACAAAGATTGATAAAAGACCTTAAATACAAAGCTGTTCAAAGAAACCATACATGTAAATCTTTAGGTACTTCTCTGATATGGCACCAAAAGGACAAGAAAAAAACTAAAAATAGAAAAACAGGACATCAATGAAATTTAAAACTTTCTGTTTCAAAAGATACCATAAAGTTAAAAAAAAATACAGAAAGGGAGAAAATTTTGGAAAATGTATATCTGATAAGGGACTTGTATCTGGAATTATTAAGATACAAAGATAAAGAATGAAAAAAGTTTTTTAAAATGTGTAAAGGATCTTAAACAGGCATTTTCCCAAGAAGATACATATAAGTAAAAAGCACATAAATTATGCTCAATATTACTATTCTTCAGGAAAATGAAAAACACCACTGTCAGGTAAAAGAGCCGAAAACCAAGACCAGACCAGGCCACAACAAGCCTTTATTAGGGGAGTAGATCTGCCAGGCTGTCTCTGAACAAAGGAGAAACAAAAGCAATATGGCCAGGGCAGGGAGAGTCTTATAGAGACTGGGGTGGGGTTTGTAGGGGCTGAGGTGGGGTTGAGTGAGGTAGTGACCAGGGAATGGAGGAGCCAGTGACATCACTAAGTGTAGTAGGTGAGCAAGTATTAGGTTACTCTCTAGGCAGGAACAGGGGCATGCTGGGAAGAAGGGTTTGTTCTTTGGTGGGAGCAGCCATCTTGGCATGATGTCACACAGGGGAGGGGGCAAGGCACCATAGGAAGAGGGCAGCTACTATACATAATAGCTGCTGAGGTAGTGGGAGACCTATCAACCACAGTGACATGTAATTGTTTACTCACTGGGATGACTATAATAAAAAAAATAGATGATAATAAGTGAGGAGAGAATGTGGGGGATGTTATGGTTTGTATCTAGATGTCCCCCCAAAGCCTCATGCAGATGAGATAGGGCTTTCTTTTTCAGAGGTAGTTGAATCTGGAATGTGTGATGCTGGGGTTAAGGGTGTGTGATTACTAAACCACTACATGTGAGTGATTAGTTTGGCACCACCCTAATCCTGGTAGCCTGAATAAGATAAAAGGGACAGAAAGATACTGTTAAACTCTCTCTTGTCACCTTTGCTGCCTTGTGCGGTGCAGTATAGACACTGCCCCTAAGTGGCTAGTACTTGGTCCTGGGATGATCAAGTCACAATAAGCAAGGCTTCTTGAGATGCGTGGGGCAGATAGAGAAGTCACAGCTGTGGATTAGTTAGTCTGCAGATCAAAGGCATACATACACAATGAACCATTAATTTAGCCTTACAAAGGAATGAAGGTCAGGAACATGCTATATAATACAGATGAACCTTGAAAACATGCTAAGTGAATTAAGACAAATGTTGTATGATTCCATTTATATTAAGTACCTAGAACTGGCAAATTTATTGAGAAAGAAAATAGAATAGTTTACCTACTCTGGGGCGATAATAGAATGGGAAATTATTTTTTAAGGGCTATGGAGTTTCTTTATGGGACAATGAAAAAGTTCTGGGAGTGAGTGCTCCTCACACAACAGTGTAAATGTATCTAAAGTCACCACGACTTAACATTTTTAAGTGACTAGAATGGTAAGTTTTACATTGCAAGCTGGGATCAAAAAATATAGCTAATACTTTAAAAAATGATTATAAGACAGGTGTGGCGAAGCATGCCTGTAGTCCCATCACTTGGAAGGCTGAAGCAAGAGGATTGCCGTGAGTTCAAGGCCAGCTTGGGCTATATAGTTAGTTAAGACCAGCCTGAACTATATAGGGAGAACCCTGTCTTAAAACAAACAAACAAAATGATTACACTAAAAGACATATTGCCATTAATTCCCCTCAAAATACCCTACCTAACTTCAAAAATCCATCATTTTTGCCACTTTCTGAAGCAATTCTGGATGTCTGGTTTTGTGAGTATCTTTAGCTGCACTGTTGTGGCTGCCTCAAGGTCCTGAAAGGTCATTTTGACTTTGGGGAAGAACCATAAGTCATGTAGTGCCATGTCCAGTAAATGAGGATGCATTATAATATTTTAATGGGTTTGCTTTTTTTGTTGGATGACACTCCACAGCAACATTTACTGTATTTTTTTAAATCACATCTTTTTTTTTAAAATCACATCTTGTAAAGACACAAAAGAGGGCTCTCTAAGCTGGACCGACTAGGTGAGAGGAGCAGCTTGGAGCTACGCAGCCGGCGCCTTTCAAGTCCCAATGCGCGCCCCCCCACCCCGTGCGCCTCTGGCCTTCTGGCTTTTCTGCTACCTGGTCCCACACTACAGAGGCACAGGAGATTACAAAGACCCTTGTCCTGAGCGCCACAAGATAGAGCAGAAGTTAGTAACAGAAAGAGGGCTTCTCAGGCTCCTCAATGAAAACTGAAGCTCAGCGGAAAAGAAAAGAGAATCTCTACAATAAAGGCACATCAGACCACTGTACTTGGTCTGCTGCTGGCTTGCTGAGACTCATTGACTCCTATATGCACATGGATTCCTACATTGCCTACTGTGACAGCAGAGACATACCCTGAAGGAGGCCCATAATTTCTAGTGTTATTTGAAAAAAAGAAAAAAATTTTTTTTCTCCTATTTTCAATTCTTAATTTTTACTTTCTCTCTACTCTTCAAAGTTTTACTTTTCTTTCTTTTATCTTTTTTCCCTCTCTCTCACTCATTCTCTCACTGTCCCACATTGCTCCTCATCTCCCCATTTGTTCCTTTCTGCACTGAATTCGGATTTCTCCCTTATTGTTTCTTTCTTCTCTTTTGCCTTCTCTTGATTATCATTAGGTTTAAAGGAAAGTAAATTTGGTATCTAGCCTCCCTGTTGCTGTTAGGTGATTCTATTCACATCTTTGTTCTTTCATTCTGCCATTTTCTCTTGCCTTTAACAACTTCTTAGAGTTTGTGTGATCTTTCTGTGTCTTCTGGCCTCACTGCTAATTTTACCTGTTCTTTCTACCTTTCCCTCCCTCCCCAACTCCTGTTAACTCCCCACCCAAAGGGGAAAGATGATATATTGAAGAGCTTATTCATTATAAACTTATGTTAGGTTGGTCCTCGGTTTTAATTTAACTCACATAGTTAAAATTGATGGATTAATAACTACCACAAATTGTCATTTTCTAAACTGTGCTTGATGCTATGGTATTGCTGACTATGTCTTTTGGGCTAACATGTTGTGATTGATCTAATTAGTTTTCCTTCATGGTATAAGGAAAATAAAATAGCCAAACACAAGCTATATCTAGAAGACACCTCTGAAAAGCAATCATTCCACAAGGGTTCTAAACTCAAGCAATAAAGATACCTACATTAAGCAATTTTGAAATATCAATCCAGGAATTAAATCAAGGACAGTACCAAAAACAAAAATGAGAAGACACTTAAGCAAGGCACAAACATAGGCTTCCATGCCACAAAAAGGAAATTCTGGGGGAAATGAGGTGGAAAAGTCTGACAAGCAACCACTTGTACACCCTGAACTGATAGCACAGGAAGTAACAAAGCAGATGCGTGAGGCTCTAGAAAAATTCAAAGCAGAAATAGTCTCTCAGATAAATACAGACATGGTGAGCAGAATGAAAGACATGATTAGAAGTTCTAGAGCAGAAACAGATAAGAAAATAGATGAGATCAGAAACATGCTGGAAGCCATGAATGCCCAGCATAAGAAAGAAATGGAAAACATAATCGCCCAACATAAGAAAGAAATGGAATCCATGAAACAGGTTCAAACACTTATTCAAGAGATTAAAAACTCCATTGAAAGCATGCAGAGCAGACTAAGAGAATCTGAAGACAGAATACTGGGAATCTTCCCCCAAGAATTAAAAGAATCATACCACAGCGATATGTGTGCACCTATGTTTATAGCAGCACAGTTTGTAATAGCTAAAGCTTGGAAACAGCCCAGGTGCCCATTGACTGGAAACTGGATAAAGAAGATGTGGTTTTTCTATAAAATGGAGTACTACTCAGTGATAAAAAATGAGAAACTAGAGACATTTATAGC